ATATATATATGAATGAATGACAGAGTTTGTTATGGTCTTTGGCAGAGGCATGCTCACTCGTTTGAGGCCGTACAGGTTGTTGTACAGCGTCCTGAAGCTCTTCCTGGTGTAGTTGCAGCGATAAGCTCCGCCCATCAGCAACTCCAGCACCAGGCCGATATCGATGAGTGTGATCTGATAGTCTGGAGGAAGGTTCCCCTGAAACAGAATGAGGTTTCACTCATGTCACGATTAGAGTTCAGAAGACAAAATATTGATGTATATTAATAAATAATAACTAACAGATCAATGAATAATTGGTAATCAGCTTTGTTCTTTGAAGATACAAAAAAACACACACTGACCTTTTTGACGTCTCTGACCACAAAATGCAGCGTGTTGGTCGGCCCCAACTTCTACAGGAAGAAAAACAATTGAAAAAAAAATTGAAAAAAAAAAGGAAGAAAACCAACCAAACAAACAAACAGGAAGCTGATGAAAAGTACAAGTATGGGCGGCTGTGGCTCAGAGGTAGAGTGGGTCGTCCACCAATTGAAAGATCAGCGGTTCGATCCCGGGCTCCTCCAGGCTGCATGTCGAAGTACCCTTGAGCAAGATACTGAACCCCAAATTGCTCCGGATGGCTGTTCCATGTGTGAGTGTGTTAAAACTGAGTAGCAGGTGGCACCTTGTAGGGTAGCCTCGGCCACCACTGTATGATGTGTGTGTGAATGGGTGAACGTGACTCGTAGTGTAAAAAGTGCTTTGAGTGGTCACTAGATGACAAGAAAGGCGCTATACAAATGCAGGTCCATTTAACATTTACCATTTACAACAACAAATCTAGAGTTTCTCTTGTCATGGAAAAAAAACAGGCCTGAGAACATCTGTGAAAAATGTGACATCAGAGGGACTCTGGTTCTGACATCAGACAGCAACAAAGATGCCAGAACCCTAAATCCATAATTGTGTTGTTGACCAGAGAAATAAAATAATATCCATATGTATGACTCATGGATTCATGTTCATGTAAAATAATAACACTGAACAGGCCACTGTTTTATAACACACCACACATATCTTATTTTTTTATTTTTTAAAAATACATTACTCATAGTTTTAATTCATATCAATTCATTATTTATAAAAATCAGTGTGGTTAATTAATGATATGATAATATTGTCGACAGTTAATCTGTGATATGATGTAATGATGTCAGGAGCTGTGATATGATGTAATGATGTCAGGAGCTGTGATATGATGTAATGATGTCAAGACCTGTGACATGATGTAATGATGTCAGGAGCTGTGATATGATGTAATGATGTCAGGAGTTGTGACATGATGTAATGATGTCAGGAGCTGCGATATGATGTAATGATGTCAGGAGCTGTGATATGAACATGATACATGAACACATGAACACATGAACACACTGACAAATGAACACAATGACACATGAACACACTGACACATGAACACAATGACACATGAACACAATGACACATGAACACACTGACACATGAACACATGAACACACTGACACATGAACACAATAACACATGAACACAATGACACATGAACACATGAACACAATGACACATGAACACACTGACACATGAACACACTGACACATGAACACATGAACACACTGACACATGAACAAACTGACACATGAACACACTGACACATGAACACATGAACACACTGACACATGAACACACTGACACATGAACACATGAACACACTGACACATTAACAAACTGACACATTAACAAACTGACACATGAACACATGAATACACTGACACATTAACAAACTGACACATGAACAAACTGACACATGAACAAACTGACACATGAATACACGACAGTCAGCAGGTTTAATCAACTGTAACTGTGTTTCCTGTCAGCTGTAACATCAGTGGACAGATAGGTGTGTATAAGATGAGGATGGCATGTCACACGTGTCCACAGCTGTTGGAGCTGACACACACACACACACACACACACACACACACGTGCACACACACACACACACACGTGCACACACACACACACACACGTGCACACACACACACACACATGCGTCCATTCAACAAACATGATCAGTAAGTTCATCCTTACACATCTGTTTATTATTTCCTGCTGAATGACCTCATGTCGAACCGTAAACTCTGATGAACATACAGAACATGTAAACATGTTTCTCTCTGCATGTTGATACGTGTCACGTGTCACATGACGTCTGTCGAAGTCTGAATGTCTCTCACACACTGTTTGTTTATGTTCATGTTCTGACAGCTGCGACTGCGACGTGTGACATCACTCATCATACAGCTGATTTAATGGTTACACTGAGGACACTGAGGATAGAGAGGACACTGAAGATACAGAGAACACTGAGGACACAGAGGTCACTGAGGACACAGAGGTCACTGAGGACACAGAGGTCACTGAGGACACTGAGGACACTGAAGATACTGAGGACACAGAGGACACTGAGGATACAGAGGACACTGAGGACACAGAGGTCACTGAGGACACTGAGGACACTGAGGACACAGAGGATACAGAGGACACTGAGGACACAGAGGACACTGAAGATACTGAGGACACAGAGGACACTGAGGATACAGAGGACACTGAGGACACAGAGGACACTGAGGACACAGAGGACACTGATGACACAGAGGACACTGAGGATACAGAGGACACTGAGGACACAGAGGATACAGAGGACACTGAGGACACAGAGGATACTGAGGACACAGAGGACACTGAGGACACAGAGGACACTGAGGATACAGAGGACACTGAGGATACTGAGGACACAGAGGACACTGAGGATACAGAGGACACTGAGGACACAGAGGACACTGACGATACAGAGGACACTGAGGACACAGAGGACACTGACTGCTGTGTGGCGTCCTCGGATGCGTCTCACCGTGTTGTAGAGCTCCTCCAGGCGGGGGATGGTCAGGAAGTGATGGATGTTGACGCCGTTCTCGATCAGCAGTTTGACAAAATCCACTCTGTCCAACACCAGAGCGTCCATCATGGCCTGCTCCAGAGAGTTCACCTGGGATGACATCACATCTTAGTCACCTCACTAACCTGTGACATCACTGACAGACTCAGATCTTTAAAGTCCAGCTCAGACTGAAGATTCTCGACAGCTAAGTGTCAGAGTGATGAAGAGGAGTCAGAGTGATGAGGAGGAGTCATAGTGATGAGGAGGAGTCAGAGTGATGAAGAGGAGTCAGAGTGATGGGGAGGAGACAGAGTGATGAGGAGGAGTCAGAGTGATGAAGAGGAGTCAGAGTGATGAGGAGGAGTCAGAGTGATGAAGAGGAGTCAGAGTGATGGGGAGGAGACAGAGTGATGAGGAGGAGTCAGAGTGATGAAGAGGAGTCAGAGTGATGAGGAGGAGTCAGAGTGATGAAGAGGAGTCAGAGTGATGGGGAGGAGACAGAGTGATGAGGAGGAGTCAGAGTGATGAAGAGGAGTCAGAGTGATGAGGAGGAGTCAGAGTGATGAAGAGGAGTCAGAGTGATGGGGAGGAGACAGAGTGATGAGGAGGAGTCAGAGTGATGAAGAGGAGTCAGAGTGATGAGGAGGAGTCAGAGTGATGAAGAGGAGTCAGAGTGATGGGGAGGAGACAGAGTGATGAGGAGGAGTCAGAGTGATGAAGAGGAGTCAGAGTGATGAGGAGGAGTCAGAGTGATGAAGAGGAGTCATAGTGATGGGGAGGAGACAGAGTGATGAGGAGGAGTCAGAGTGATGAAGAGGAGTCAGAGTGATGAGGAGGAGTCAGAGTGATGAAGAGGAGTCAGAGTGATGAAGAGGAGTCAGAGTGATGGGGAGGAGTCAGAGTGATGAAGAGGAGTCAGAGTGATGGGGAGGAGTCAGAGTGATGAAGTGAGTTTGTCTTTGGTCTGAACTGGACTTAATGAACCGATTCATCCTTTCACATGTGGGAGACGTGTTGTTGTGAATAAAGACTGAGTGTTACGGTTTGTCTCTGACGCCCTGACGGCAGGTGGTTGGTTCAGGTTCAAACGGTGATGCTGGTGTCTTAACGTGTTAGTTAATAACTGTCGCCAGCTCTGTGAGTTCTGACAGAACCTTATGGATCAGAACTCTTGATCCCAGTGTGTCAGACTGACCCAGTTTGATCCCAGTGTGTCACACTGACCCAGTTGAGCAGCTCCAGTTTTCGGGGGTCGGTCTCTTCGGGTGGTTCAGGTTTGGTTTTGCCTGCTTTTCCTTTCTTGCCTCGAGCCTTCCCTTTTCCTCCTGCTCCTCCTGTTCCTCCTGCTCCTCCTCCTGCTGCTCGCTGGGCTGGTGGACTTTTGGGGCGGTCGGAGGACAACGAGCTGACAGGCTGCAGAGACACAGATAATGATCCAATCACAGGGTTTAACTGGAAGACAAACTGTTCACTTCTTATTAGGAGGAAGAGGAGACGTGAGGAAGAGGAGGTCGGTCACAACAAAAACTCACAGGTTCAAGATAAATTCACAGAAATCTTTCTGATTTGTCTAAAGTTTAACTTTAGAGAGGACATAAACATGTCTCCATGTGTCCCACCAGAGGGACAGAGACAGAGACAGAGACAGAGACAGGAGGACAGAGACAGAGACAGAAGGACAGAGACAAAGACAGAGGAACAGATACAGAGACAGGAGGAAGGAGACAGAGACAGAAGGGCAAAGACAGAGACAGGAAAACAGAGACAGGAGGACAGAGACAGAGACAGGAGGACAGAGACAGAGACAGAGACAGGAGGACAGAGACAGAGACAGAGACAGAAGGACAGAGACAGAGACAGGAGGACAGAGACAGAGACAGAGACAGGAGGACAGAGACAGAGACAGAGACAGGAGGACAGAGACAGAGACAGAGACAGAAGGACAGAGACAGAGACAGGAGGACAGAGACAGACACAGAGACAGGAGGACAGAGACAGAGACAGAGACAGGAGGACAGAGACAGATAGAATCAGACTAACAGGCCAGTGGAGTCCATAGACTAAGATCTGACTGTGAGCGATGTCCACTCTGTTCCACGCCAACGCCAAACTCAGTTGATCAGACGCCGACGCATTTGTCCCTGAAACCAAAGGGACAGACATCAACACACGCTGGGTTCATCCATTCATTCATTAACACAGCCTATTATAACATTCATTATAGATTATATATCATTATAAAGACCGCGATGAAACTGACTTTTCAGGAGCAGAGTACCTTGCCCGGGAATGGGACACCGGGGCCTCCTCCTGGAGCCAGAACCGGGGGTAGAGCTCACCAGCGAGCTCAGCCCGAAGAGACAACATGGAGCCGTCGCCCTGTGGGCCCACCACCCGCAGGGACAGAAATTGGGGTCAGGTGCATTGTGTGCCCCTGGCGTGCCGATCCCTGGTGTCACGGACTGGCTTTTGGAACGTGGAATGACACCTCTCTGGTGGGGAAGGAGCCGGAGCTGGTGTGGGAGGTGGAGCAGTACCGACTAGATATAGTTGGGCCCACCTCCATGCACAGCACTGGTTTTGGAACCAAACTCTTGGAGAGGGGCTGGACTCTTGCTTTTGCTTAGGGTGAGAGGCACCAGACAGGTGTGGGGATAATCACAAGCCCCCGGCTGAGCGCCGCCATGTTGGGGTTCTCCCCAGAGAATGAGAGGGTTGTTTCAATGCGCCTGCGGGTCACAAAGAGAAGGTCTCTGACTGTTGTTTGTGCATATGCACCACGGCAGTGCAGAGTACTTGGCCTTCTTGGAGTCTCTCTTGGAATCTCTCATCCTGCAAGGGGTGCCAGCTGGGGACTCCATAGTTCTCCTGGGGGACTTCCACGCTCATGTGGGCAATGACGGAGAAACCTGGAGGGGGGGCAATTGGGAGGAACAGCCTGCCTGATCTGAACCCGAGTGGTGCTTTGTTATTGGACTTGAACACCATGTTTGAGCACAGGGAGGTTCATAAGTGTACTTGGTACCAGAACACCCTAGGCCAAAGATCAATGATCAATCTTGTGGTCATATTAGCAGATCTGCGGCCGTGTGTCTTGGACACTCGGGTGAAGAGAGGAGCAGAGCTGTCAACTGATCACCTGGTGGTGAGTTGGATCAGATGGTGGGGGAGGCTGCCGGACAGACCTGGTAAACCCAAATGTCTAGTGAGGGTGAACTGGAAACATCTGGCTGAGGACCCTGTCCATGGGGTATTCCAATCCCACCTCCGGGAGAATTTCTCGTGCATCCTGGGATAGGTTGGGGACATGGAGTCTGAGTGGGCCATGTCCAAAGCCTCCATTGTGGAGGCAGCTTCTAGGAGCTGTGGTCAGAAGGTTGTTGGTGCCTGTTGGGGCGGCAACCGAAGAACCCGCTGATGGAGGGAGGCCGTCAGGCTGAAGAAGGAGGCCTTTCAGCACTATTGGGCTGTCATGGCTGACACACCTTTTCAGTGTCACGTGGAGGTCGGGTACAGTGCCTGCAGAGTGGCAGACCGTGAAGTGAAAATAAAAACAAAATGCAAGAAAAAATATAGAGGGGACCGGAGGGTGTGCTCCAGATATCAGGGCATCACACTGCTCAGCCTCCCGGGTAAAGTTTACTCCAGGGTGCTGGAAAGGACGCTCTGAGCGACTGTCAAACCTCAGATTCAGGAGGAGCAATGCGTATTTCGTCCTGGCCGTGGAACAGTGAACCAGTGGAGCAGCTCTTTACCCTTGCGAGGCTGCTGGAGGGGTCGTGGGAGTTTGTCCATCCAGTATACATGTGCTTTGTGGACCTGGTGAAGGCTTACGACCGTGTCCCTTGAGGGTCTTGTGGAGGGTACTATGGGAGTACGGGGTGCCAGACTCACTGCTACGAGCCATCCGGTCCCTGTATGACCAAATTGAGAGCTGTGTCCGCATACTTGGTTTAAAGTCGAACGCATTCTCGGTGGGTGTTGGCCTCCACCAAGGTTGTCCCTTGTCATCAATCCTGTTTGTGATCTTCATGGACAGGATCTTGAGGCACAGCCGGGGGGAGGAAGGGGTCCTGTTTGGGGACCTGAGAATTGTATCTCTGCTTTTCGCAGATGATGTGGTTCTGTTGGCTCCATCACACCGTGACCTCCAGCATGCACTGGGGCGTTTTGCAGCTGAGTGTGAAGCAGTTGGAATGAGAGTCAGCACCTCCAACTCTGAGGCCATGGTTCTCTGTCAGAAACTGGTGGATTGCTCTCTTGGGGTTGGGGGAGAGTTACTGCCTCGTGCAAAGGAGTTCAAGTATCTTGGGGTCTTGTTCACGAGTGAGGGTAGAATGGAGCGTGAGGGATGTCTGGGGTGCTTTGCTCGGCCTGCTGCCCCCGTGACCCGGTCCCAGATAAGCAGATGAAAGTAGATGGATGGATGGATAAATAGATAGAAAGACTTCAGAGTCACAGGGAGGTCGGCTGAAGGTCATACTCATGATCAGTTTTCAACATCACTCAGTCCGTCTCCATGATAACAGTGAAGTGGAGCTACAGTCCCAGCTGGACGAGGTCATCTAACTGGCCTACTGTCCTTGTCCCAGTATACAAGCACGGGAGGGGAATCCATTTATTGAGCCAAGTATGTGCGACTCCTCTACGATAGGTGGAGATATGCCCCCTTTCAGCTTGTTAGTATTGGACCTTTTTCCTGTTGACCTATTACGTCACAGACCAAACAATGGACAAACAAGTTAGCTACGGTTAGCTAGCAGCTAACTGCTACCATGGTGGACAACTTTACAGCTCTGTACATTTGGTCCGTCCAAAAAGTCACGGCTCTGGATGTAGATTTCTCCATGTTGTTACCGGCTTCTTCTTCTCTTACACATTTAATGCTATTGGACTTCCGGGTCAAAGCCCGGGGCGGAAACTGTGGAGCATGCTCAGAGCGCCTCGGCCAGTTTGGGTCTGATTGACTGTATACATGCAGGAGTCACATGATCTGGGTGTGTTAGTCCCACTGTGACACATTCACTGCAGGAACATTTCACTCACACTGACATGTTTACAGGGTTAGAGCTGTTGTCATGGTAAAAGACTGAGTGATGTCATGTGACCTGTATAAATCTGTTGTGTTACCTTTGAGCAGTGCCGTTAGGATGGACATCTCAATGTCCTGCTGTCCCTCTGAGCCCATCCTGAACACTGTGATCTACACACACAACACACAACACTGTCAACTACACACAAAATACACAACATCTGCACACTGTGAGGAGACAGGAAGTGTCTGAGGGAAGTAAAGGAGGATGTGGACAGACAGAGCAGAGGTATAGAAGAGCAGAGTCCATAGGAGGCTGTCCTACAGCAGGTCCAACACCTTTATCTGCACACGTTTACACCTGGAGACATGTCTGTCCTCAACCACAACCCGCCTACACCACATCTCGTCTTGTCTCGTCACATCTCATGACAAACATGTTGAAATAACAGCTCTGTCCTGACTGATATAACGTCTCGTCTCATCTCGTCTTGACTCAACTCTTCTCGTCCCCTGATATAAACCAGAGAGACACTCGTCTGTCCTGTCAGCAGCTCTGTGAGTCTGTCTTCAATCACCATGGTCAGTTTAGCTGAATGTTTTTATCCAAAGATAGACTGAAGACAGACTGAGGACAGGCTGAGGACAGGCTGAGGACAGACTGAGGACAGGCTGAGGACAGACAAGCTGAGGACAGACTGAGGACAGGCTGAGGACAGACTGAGGACAGACAGGCTGAGGACAGACTGAGGACAGACAAGCTGAGGACAGACTGAGGACAGACTGAGGACAGGCTGAGGACAGACTGAGGACAGACAGGCTGAGGACAGACTGAGGACAGACAAGCTGAGGACAGACTGAGGACAGGCAGGCTGAGGACAGACATTAGGACAGAGAGGCTGAGGACAGACAGGCTGAGGACAGACTGAGGACAGACAGGCTGAGGGCAGACTGAGGACAGATAGGCTGAGGACAGACTGAGGACAGACAGGCTGAGGACAGACTGAGGACAGACTGAGGACAGACTGAGGACAGACTGAGGACAGACAAGCCGAGGACAGGCTGAGGACAGACTGAGGACAGACTGAGGACAGACAAGCCGAGGACAGGCTGAGGACAGACTGAGGACAGATAGGCTGAGGACAGGCTGAGGACAGGCTGAGGACAGACTGAGGACAGACAGGCTGAGGACAGACTGAGGACAGACTGAGGACAGACTGAGGACAGACAAGCCGAGGACAGGCTGAGGACAGACTGAGGACAGACTGAGGACAGACAAGCCGAGGACAGGCTGAGGACAGACTGAGGACAGATAGGCTGAGGACAGGCTGAGGACAGGCTGAGGACAGACTGAGGACAGACAGGCTGAGGACAGACTGAGGACAGACTGAGGACTCATCAGAGACGGTTCAAACTACTGAACAGATTCATTTGAATCTCCAGGTGAGCTGTGAACAGGTGGGTTTAAACTCTTAAAGAGACAGTACTGCTTTATTGTGTCAGCAGCAGGTTAATCTGACTCTGAATCAGTTGAAGTGAATTGAAGTGATTTTATTTGACTTTGTGAGTGGCGTGCTGCTGCAGCTGTTCTCAGGAAGAAGCAGAGGATTGTGGGATTAAATAAATGCTGCAGGGTCACAGAACAATCTCCATTAAACGCTGTAGTTTGGGGTCGAAGGTCAAACCTTTGTCATTATGTTAATGTCACAGTCAGCAGGTTCCTCTGTTTTTTACTGTTTTACATCAGCAGAGCTGAGACCACGTTACCCACAATCCACTGTGACCATCAGTGATGACACTGATACATGAACATCAGATTGTACAGCAGGTCTGCAGCAGGTTTAACTGAAGCATTATAAATCCATTTGTACTCTGTAGTCATGGAAACAGACGAGTGATGGTATAAAAAGGGAAAGTCAGTCTTTAACCCTTGAGGGTCTTGGGCTAATTTTGGCGGTTTTGTATACTTGTGATTTTTGCCTTTATATACCACATAAAAAAATGTTTGTCAACAAAATGCCAACAGATGGACTCAAATATTCTGTTAATACAGAAATTAATTAATTAAATATGATTCAGTGTTAACGACTCACAGCCTCTGATGATCAACTGAAAACTCATCAAAGTCTAAACTACAAGACATCAACTACAACTCCCAGGGTGCATTTCACCAGCAAACAGCCAATCACAGAGCTTCATTTCAACAAAGAGTCAATCACAGAGCTTCAGGTGAGTCAGTTGGTTTTAACAGCTGCAGTGACTTAATGAACACAAACGTTATTAATGAACGTGTCAGTAAAATGATTCAGACGCTCTGATACAGACTGAGCAGAGGCCACATGTTGATGAACTGTAGAAGAAGAGTGAAGGCTGGAGGAGGAAACAGACCTATGGAGTGAGTTTGATGATGATGATGATGATGATGATGATGATGACGGTCACAGGCTGAAACAGTCTAATAGTAACGTTTTATATTACAAGATGCTGCAGAGTTTTGACCTGCGTTAACACTGAAGAGCTAACCCCACCCTCCATCCACCCAGTGACATCACTGTGACATCACTGTGTGGCTTTCTTCAGTCAGACAAACATCATCCAGATTCTGTCACCTCATCACTGGGAAAACATACATGTTGAAGTTGTTACCGGGCAACAGGGCAGGTTGATGATGATGATGATGATGATGATGATGGTGATGATGATGATGATGGTGACTGCGACACACTGACGGCAGCTGGATGTGAATGAGGACTGAACTCATCACAACGTACCAGCGCTCTCTTCTTCATGCACTCCATCACCATGATGAAGATCTGCTGCGCCTGGCTACGGCTGTAGTTGAAGGTTTTCTGGATGGTGACCATCAGCTGATCTTTGACGCTGTCAGTCAGCAACCTGAGCAGGAAAAACAGTACACAGTCATGTGACGTTCTCCAGGGGGACGACTGAGAGCAGCAGGAGAAGAAACAGTCAGGTGTCCATCAAAAGACTGACAAACCTGTCTGAAGACTGGTCCCTGAACACATCCTTTACATTTACAGAAACCTGAAGAGGACTGACAAACTACAGTGACCTATCTGTCCAACAGTCGATCTGTCCAACGGTCAATATTTCCAACAGTTGATCTGTCCAACAGTCGATCTGTTAAACACTCGATTAGTCCAACAGTCAATCCGTCCAATGGTCAATCCGTCAAACGGTCGATCTGACCAACAGTCAATCCATCAAATGGTTGATATGTCCAAAGGTCGATCTGTCCAATGGTCAATCTGTCCAACGGTCGATCTGTCAAACGGTCAATCCGTCAAACGGTCAATACGTCCAACAGTCGATCCATCAAATTGTCTATCCGTCCAATGGTCAATCCGTCCAACAGTCAATCCGTCCAACAGTCGATCTGTCCAACAGTCAGTCCATCAAATGGTCAATCTGTCCAACAGTCGATCTGTCCAACAGTCAATCCATCAAACGGTCAATCTGTCCAATGGTCCATCTGTCAAACAGTCAATCCATCAAACAGTCGTTTCGTCCAACAGTCGATCCATCAAACGGTTGATCTGTCAAACGGTCCATCTGTCCAGCTGTTGATCTGTGATGGTTCATGTTTCTAACTGTCCGAGTTTTAAAGTCAAACTGAATCAAGTCTGTCCTGCAGCAGATGTCTCATCTGGCTGAGAACCAAACTGAGTTTAATGTACGAATGTCACTCACCCGTCTTCGCCACAGTATCTGTGTGCAAAGGAAATGATGTCAGAGGCACGACCGCTGCCATCACAGACAACAACAGGGACCGGGGGCTCCTCCCTGAGACTCTCCAACACGATGGAGATGACATTAGGCCCGCCCTCCAGGATCAGACACACCACTGGGACGCCCTGACCCAAACCTGACACACACAACACACACAGAACACACAATATACAACACACACAACACACGTCATGCTGCTTCACATCTTCACGTTGTTTCTCAGGATCTTTGATTTCACACTAACTGAATAATTTCATAATAAAGTTTTACATTGTTCTGCTCCCAGTCTTTGTGCTAAGCTAGACTAACAGTTTCCCTCTGCCCCCAGGCTTTGTGCTCAGCTAGGCTAACAGATGAAAGAAGATAAAACAGACACACAGTCCTCAGTTTTTCATGTTTTCCTGTCCCTGTGAGGACGTCTGATTGTCCACAGCTGAGTCATGTTGGTGTTTTCGGTTAGCGGTGGATGAAGTGACGTCTGAGCCTCCCTCTGGTGTCCCTGCCTCACACACAGCTCCAGGCATAGGATGACAAAGGGAAACCCACAGGTCACATGATGTGTCTCATGTTTACTCCAGCAGGGTTTCATCTGAGGACAGCACCTGATTGGTGATGATACTCAGTTGTATTTATCGATGAAGCCAGAAGAAAGCAATCAATTAACTAAACTCCATAACTGCCTTAAAGACATAAAAACCTGGATGAGCACCAATTTCCTGATGTTAAATTCATACAAAACTGAAGTTATTGTTCTTGGCCCCAAACAACTCAGAGACTCTTTATCTGATGACATAGTTTCTCTAGATGGCATTGCTCTGGCCTCTAGCACTACCGTAAGAAACCTCGGAGTAATATTTGATCAAGATTTGTCTTTTAATTCTCATTTAAAACAAACCTCACGGACTGCATTTTTTCATCTGCGTAATATTGCGAAAATTAGGCCTATCCTGACCCGAAAAGATGCAGAAAAATTGGTCCACGCTTTTGTTACCTCTAGGCTGGATTACTGTAACTCTCTATTATCAGGTAGCTCTAGTAAGTCCTTAAAAACTCTCCAGCTAATTCAGAATGCAGCAGCACGTGTACTAACAGGAACTAAGAAACGAGATCATATTTCTCCTGTTTTAGCTTCTCTGCACTGGCTCCCTGTAAAATCCAGAATTGAATTTAAAATCCTACTGTTAACTTATAAAGCTCTAAATGGTCAAGCTCCGTCATATCTTAGAGAGCTCATAGTGCCATATTATCCCACCAGAACACTGCGCTCTGAGAACGCAGGGTTACTCGTGGTCCCTAAAGTCTCCAAAAGTAGATCAGGAGCCAGAGCCTTCAGCTATCAGGCTCCTCTCCTGTGGAATCATCTTCCTGTTACGGTCCGGGAGGCAGACACCGTCTCCACATTTAAGACTAGACTTAAGACTTTCCTCTTTGATAAAGCTTATAGTTAGGGCTGGCTCAGGCTTGCCCTGTACCAGCCCCTAGTTAGGCTGACTTAGGCCTAGTCTGCCGGAGGACCCCCCTATAATACACCGGGCTCCTTCTCTCTCCCTCTCTCTCTCTCTCTCTCTCTCTCGTATTCTATTACTGCATCTTGCTAACTCGGCCATTCTGGATGTCACTAACTCGGCTTCTTCTCCGGAGCCTTTGTGCTCCACTGTCTCTCAGATTAACTCATATCACAGCGGTGCCTGGACAGCGTGACGTGTGTGGTTGTGCTGCTGCCGTGGTCCTGCCAGATGCCTCCTGCTGCTGCTGCCATCATTAGTCATTAGTCATACTTCTACTGTTATTATACACATATGACTATTGTCACACATGTATACTGCCAGATATTAATACATACTTTCAACATATTGTACCACAGTAGCCAGAACTATAACTATAATATTATTACTTTCATTAATGTTGTTGTAAGCTACTGTTATTACCTGCATCTCTCTCTCTGTCTCTCTCTCTCTGTCTCTCTCTCTCTCTCTCATTGTGTCATATGGATTACTGTTAATTTATTATGCTGATCTGTTCTGTACGACATCTATTGCACGTCTGTCCGTCCTGGAAGAGGGATCCCTCCTCAGTTGCTCTTCCTGAGGTTTCTACCGTTTTTTTTCCCCGTTAAAGGGTTTTTTTGGGGAGTTTTTCCTGATCAGCTGTGAGGGTCATAAGGACAGAGGGATGTCGTATGCTGTAAAGCCCTTCGAGGCAAATTGTGATTTGTGATATTGGGCTTTATAAATAAAATTGATTGATTGATTGATTGGCTGACAGGTGACCAGGTGGCTAGTGAAGAGTTCTGATTTGTTTGTTGGCTGATTGAGTCCTGATCAACCAGCACAGTCGCCAGAATAAAGTGTTTATGTGTAGGTTTATGTTACATTTATATGTTTTATATGTGACATCAGAACAAATGAAACACGTGTCTGAGATCGGACTGAACACATCACATGTATCTGAGGAGAGAACGTGTTTTCATTAGTTTGGGTGAACTGGCCCTTTAACAAACTGAGGCTACTCTACACTTCCTGTTTGTTCTCAGGACAGCAGTGATTGGCTGTTTGAGTGTGTCACATGGTGTCACAGGTGCGTGACTCACGTGTGTTGATCTTCTGCAGGGCAATGTGTTTCTCCAGCTGACGGCGGAGCCGCACCTCGGCGCCGTACTTCCCGCTGGTCCCGTTATCAGACAGTATGAAGTGAGAGTGGCTGCTGTTCAGGACGGACAGCTTGCTGAGAGGGTTAGACATGGTCTGATAGGGGTGACTCACCTGGAAGGAACACATGTGACTGGTCTGATCAGAGGTGGGAGGAGCCACACATCAGTCTCAGGTCATTACGGGAAGGTGTTTAGTCTTTATAGAGCGGCTCTGTTTGTCAGTCTGTAGTTTCCTGTTCTGTTCCTTATTCCAACTGAAAAGTTCAAACTCTGTGTGTTTGAGTATAAAATAAAAGTTTCCCAAACCCTTCTAAAGTCATTTACCCATGTGACTTTTCTTCATATAAACATGTGTGATATCAATCTCAAACCTCTAGTCTGGAGAAGCAGACAGCAGACATGACACAGTAAAGTCCTGCTGTAGACGCCATGTTAGTTTGGTTCTGTAAATTCACAGTGAAACAAACGAGCTGAGTGAGTCGATCAGCAGCTCCTGAGTTCTGTCAGCTTATATTACTGCTCATGTAAATGTCTGGTGTCTTCACAGAGAGCCATATAATGACCTCAGCTCCCCGTCTGAGAGGCCGTTGAACGGACGGTAAGGTACAGAGGTCACTCAAACTGAAACTGAAGTTTCCTTTTAAGGAGGCTGAAATATGTTTTACTGTTGTTCCTGTTCACTCTCACCAACATCAGTCGTTTTACCTCACAGAACAAACTTGTCTACATATGACGTCCAAGGTACCCTGGGTGTGTTGGTTGTTGACGTTCTGGGACGCCGTGTCAACTTCAGCCTGTTACATGCATTGTCTGTTTTCAAAATACACTTCTGTTTTCACAGGAAATGTACAGTTTGCATACAGTCTCTTTCAAAATAAAAGCACTACATTGGTACAACACCAACAACTGATGTTTTTTCCTTCAACAACCAAAACACGTGGTTACGTTTAGCCAACACACACACACACACGGTTACGTTTAGCCAACACACACACGTGGTTACGTTTAGCCAACACACACACACATGGTTACGTATATCCAACACACACACGTGGTTACGTTTAGCCAACACACACACGTGGTTACGTTTAGCCAACACACACACGTGGTTACAGTTAGCCAACACACACACGTGGTTATGTTTAGCCAACACACACGTGGTTATATTTAGCCAACACACACACATGGTTACGTTTAGCCAACACACACGTGGTTACATTTAGCCAACACACACACGGTTACGTCCTTCAGCAGTAACAACCACAGTGTCAGCTCACAGCTGCTGTGTCTCATAAAAATCAGAAATGTTTTTGAAGACAAGTGAATGATGATGATGTTTTTATTTAATCTTACGTCTCTCCCAATGAGGTCCTCTTTGTTCTCCACGATGCCCCATGGTGCGATGCCAATTGCGCAGACTTTCCCTCTGGACTTTGACGAATGATCTTTGAGAGCATCTCCGACATGACGTATCACTCCTGAAACACCACAGAGATCAGGATCCTGTTAGAGGACGAGCGCTACGATGTCATGTGATGACTAAACAAAACATCATCCATCAGTTACAGCGGTGGAGCTGCTGACATGGGTCCTGTTTCAGGTTTGAATCACAGTCTGGATGATGTCAGTCGTCCTGTTGACTTTAAGAAGTTCATCATTTCCTGTCTCTATATCAGACAGTGAGATGTTCAGGAGGTGGTTATCTTAGCTTAGCTTAGCTTAGCATAAAGACTGTAAACAATCAGCCTGTCTCTGTCAACACATCACGTCTCATTTGTTCCACATAATAACCAGTAAGTTACTGGGACGGTACCAGTGCTGACTCCTCCGGTGAAGATCCAGGCTCCCGTGGTCACCGCTGCTTTGATCAGTCCTTTTCCAAAAACCTGCTTCAGTTTTGGCGGCAGGTCGAAGTTCTGAAGTCCTCCGTGCACCGAGATCAGCAGCGTGGGGAGCTCCAACTGCCACTCCTTCACCATCAGGTGGAGCAGGTGGTCCGGTTTGGAGTCATACGAGACCCGGATGTACTGGAGGAAGAGGAGGAGGAGGAGGAGGAGGAGGAGAAGGAGAAGGAGGAGGAGGAGGAGGAGGAGAAGGAGGAGGAGGAGGAGGAGGAGGAGAGGTATGACATTGATCCAGTGGTCCAGCAGCAGTTTGAAACCATAATAATAATAATAATAATAATAATAATAAATATTAAATAGCAAATCACCATGTCCTTGTTGATATGATGATAATGATGATGATGATGATGATGGTTATAAATTAAATATAAGTATAATATTAGAGCATATATTAACGTACCATGGCCTTGTTGACGTGTCCTCCTCCCTGGAACTCGATGACTCCGTAGGCGTCGGTGGATGAGGTCTGGGTGTGTTTCAGAGGACTCCACCTCTCTGCAGGCTGGACCTCCACCTGAACCACAGGGGCCCCCTCCTCTTTGGCCCCTGGAGGGACCAAGGTGTGCTGCGCCACCAACTGACCACAACCACACCTAAACAACAACAACAACAACAACAACATGACAGTAGAAACAGGAAATTAGATCTTTCAATCAGTCAGTCAATTTTATTTGTAAAGCCCAATATCAGAAATCACAATTTGCCTCAGAGGGCTTTACAGCATATGACATATGACATCCCTCTGTCGTGACTGGCTGCAGCTGCAGAAGGAAACACTCATGGAGCTTCAGACTGATGTCATGTGATGTCATGTGACGTCATGTGATGTGTGGTGACCTGTAGAATCACATCATGTTCATGTGTCGACCATTAGAGAAAGAAGAAGCTGTGTCAGTGTTTGTTTCTGAGAGGAAGAGACCGCTGAGGATAATTCAGCTCCTCAACAATCAGCACTGAAGGAATTCTAACCAGGAGAAGTTTCAGATGGTTGTAATCTGTAACCTGTAATCCGTAATGTGTGAAGTGTGATCTGTAGTCTGTAATCTGCGATCTGTAATCCGCGATCTGTGATCTGCAATCTGTAATCTGTAATCTGTGATCTGTGATCTGTAATCTGTAATGTGTGAAGCGTAATCTGTAATCTGTAATCTGAGATCTGAGATCTGAGATCTGTAATCTGTAATGTGTGAAGTGTGATCTGTAATCTGTAATCTGCAATCTGTAATCTGTAATCTGTGATCGGTAATCTGTAATCTGTGATTCTGTGATCGGTAATCTGTAATCCTCACTGATAGACGTCACTAACGTTGCTTTTCTGTGTCAGAAACATGTTTACGTGGGTGGTGCAGTGACACATGTGAGGCGGTCCAGGTGTGTTTGTACCTGCTGGTGTCTTTGCCGGGAATAATCTGGATACATTCTCTCTTCTGGAAAGTTCTCTCGATCCACACTCTCTGAGTCTGAGGACAAACAGGAAGTAAACAAACAAACAAACATTTATCATGTAGGACAGGAAGTAAACAAACAAACATTTATCATGTGCAACCTGTAGGAATGAAGCAGGTTGGATAACGACCTGTCAAAGATCCAGTTAAACAACTAAACTTCAGCAGGTCTGATGAAGTCACCTGTCAGGTCAGACGATGACATCATGCAAAGAGCAAACACGACATCATCAGTGTTCCTCATGTTAAAAAAGGGAGAAGTTGTTTGTTATTGAGTTCTCTGTCTGAGCAGATTAAACGAAGCCAAATAGAGGTGAGTTTAAAACCAGAGGAAAGGAGAAGCTGTGAGGTGTTGGTACTTTAAGGTGTCCCCCAAGGTTCAGTTCTTGGCCCCCTCCTCTACATCCTGTAACCCTACTCCTCCCTCCTCTCCTCATGTCTGTAACCTTCATCTTGGATCAAACCCTCTCCTCTGACCAACACATCACGACACAGCATCTTCCATCTCAGAAACATCGCCCACCCCAGCCCGGTCCCTCTGCTCCTCAGCTGCGCCTCCCTCGACCTCCCTCTGCTCCTCATCTGCACCTCCCTCGACCTCCCTCTGCTCCTCATCTGCACCTCCCTCGACCTCCCTCTGCTCCTCATCTGCACCTCCCTCGACCTCCCTCTGCTCTTCAGTTGAACCTCCCTCGACCTCCCTCTGCACCTCAGCTGCACAGACTCTCATTCACTCATTCATCACCTCCAGACTGAGACAGTCTCCTCCATGGTTCATCATCCAGAACTCAGCTGCTTGTCTTCTCACACACTCCTGTGACCTCATCACCCCCGTCCTCCATAACCTCCACTGGCTCCCCATCCCTCATCGTATCCTCTTCAGACTCCTCATTGTCGCCTATCGTTGTCTCCACAACCTGCTCCCTGTTTGTTTGGGGTTTTTTTTTGTTTTGTTTTGTTTTCCGTTGTCTTGTTCAGCATCTATATTCCTAAAATCTGCAGGAGATCTGCAGTGTTCTGTGTGTGGAAGCAGATTCAGTACGGACCAGATTGTTACTGATGTCACTTTGACGATGGACATTTCAGATGAAGATAAATAGACGATGCGACAGGAGAAATTAGGAGGCAGATTAATGATGAAAACACAGAGGCAACATATTTGAAACCTGCTGTCTGATTGATCACAATATTAAAATCTGCTCTGTCTCCTCCCGATCAGTTTGATTGATCCACAAAGAATCTAATTATTGACGGATATTCTCAGAAGTTTTTAACCAGATCTAAGCTGACGACACACGGCTTTCTCTCTGTCTCAAACCTAACGACGAGTCTGATTCTGTCTTATGAACTGTCCAAAGGACATCACGAACTTCCTTCAGCTGAATGAGGACAGATCAGAAGTCGTCCTCTTTGTCTTCTAATGGAGCGACACTTTGTTCATGTTTAATGTCGACATGTTTCACAGCACACTCGTCTCATGTCCATTGTAGATGAAGACCTGTGGTAACGTCCTGTTTCAATCACTGAACACTGATGAAACATCAGAGTGATGAACTGAAGCTCCTCAGTAGTTTACATCTGTCATACATTGTGTGTGGGGGGTGTACTCATGTACATTAAGCTGCAGCTCCACATTAAACCATCACTAACGGCTCATGTCTGAATGTATCCGGCTAATTACTGGGACAGAAGAGCTTTCCATTTCTTTATGCATCAAATCCTCTTAACGTCCTGATCCTGCTGCTGCTCAGAAAATACACGGAACGACGCTTTAAACTGCATCAATCCACGCTAATGGCTCTGTTACTGTCATCACTGTAATGATAGTAATAATGATAATAATAATAGTAATAATAACAATAATAATAATAATAATAGTAATAAGAGCTTCAGTGTTTTTCAGGAACATTGAATGAACCCAGACTATGTAATTACAACCTGGACGCTGTGTAAAACATAAATAAAAACAGAATGCAGCGATCTGTAAATTCTTTTTGACCCATATTCACCTGAACACAGTCCAGAAATATCTAATGTTCAAACTGGTCACCTTTATTGTTCTCTGACAATCTGCAGTAGGTTGAAATAAAGTTGTGATGGGAGCAACAACAAAATGTTCTGACCGCAGCGCCCTCTAAAGGCTCAGCTGCTCAGGACGGACACTTTGATACAAACTGTGAGGACAAACAGATTTCACATCTACATCCCATAATATCATCAACAGATTCAGAGACTGCAGAAATCTCTGCATGTAAGGGACAAGGCTGAATGTGGGTGATCTTTGACCCCTCAGACGTCACTGCATTACAAACCAACATGACTGTATATAGGATATCACTACATGGGCTCAGGAACACTTGTCAGAAACCACTGTCAGTAAACACGTCGCTGCATCTACCAATGACAGTTCAGACTCTACCAGGCTCCGCCCACTTCTCTGTGCTCGAGCTCATCTGACATGGACTCTGACCAGTCCATCATGGACGTCCTGTCCTCCAGGACCAGCAGCTGTGATGGATGGAGGTGCATCATGGGTAACTTCCTGTCTGTGATGGATGGAGGTGCATCATGGGTAACTTCCTGTCCGCGATGGATGAAGGTGTTTTGTGCAGTGGGCCTCAGATCACTAAAAAACAGTGTTTCTATGATTTTGTCCTCCCTGTTTACAAGCATGAGGTGGTCAGAATATTAGGAACCCCTCTGAACACATTTTGAAGGTGGAACTTATCTGTTTTTCATTGTGGTGCTGGATGTAAATGAAGTTTATTACAAAGCTGCTCACACACACACTGAAGTGAAGTGTGTGTGTGTGTGTGTGTGTGTGTGTGTGTGTGTGTGTGTGTGTTGTGAACAGATTACAGTGAGCAGTGAACAGAGTGTGACCAGCAGCAGGATTATCAGTGTTTTAAATGAGATTAATGTTGTTCAGACCAACAACTCATTTGCATAATGACTTGTTATATCAGGGACAGGAAGTGGACCTGCAGCTCATAGAGAGTTTGTTTCGCTAAGAGTTTGTTTTTAATGATCAGTACAGTTTAAATTAACATTCTGATCATTAATCCATCAGGTCCTTTTTAAGTCACAGTGTCAAAGTTCAGCTCATCAAATTTCATCTGAAAAATTCACACTGAAACTTTTAAACCTGATTCAGATGGTTGTTTCAAACACTCGCTGCCTGACAGAACCTTCACGTGACCGACCCTGACGTCAAAGAGGAAATATACATTAACATACTGTACTGTAGCTGGTATGCTAACATTACCTGTTGGTCACTGAATGGGGTTAGCAACTACAGCTAACGTTAGCATCAGATCTGGGTTCTGATGAGTCTGTGTACTGTGTAGTTAGCGTTAGCTCTGTTAGACGGTCTCTGAGTGGACATGGTTTTGTTTTCTGGTTAGGACACAGACACTTCAGGAGGAAACTCTTTTCTTATTTTTATTTATTTATTCATTGGATGGAAATGGAACATGGCAGCGCGGAAAATTCACATCGAACCTGGCGTGTTAAGTTTTAATGCAGAGGATTTCACACAGGTGAGAAGCAGCTTGGCCTCTGGTTGGCTCATCTAACCAGTCTCAGTTCTCTTACCAAAACAAGCCAATCAACGAGGGAAACAAGTACGTGTTGACGTTCTGGGACGCCGTGTCAACTTCAGCCTATTACATGCATTGTCTGTTTTCAAAAAACACTTCTGTTTTCACAGGAAATGTACAGTTTGCACACAGTCTCTTTCAAAAGAAAAGCACTACGTCAGTACAACACCACCTACTGATGTTGGCACATGGTTATATTTAGCCAACACACACACGTGGTTACGTTTAGCTGACACACACACGTGGATACGTTTAGCCGACACACACACACACGTGGTTATGTTTAGCCAACACACACGTGGTTACGTTTAGCCGACACACACACGTGGATACGTTTAGCCAACACACACACACGTGGTTACGTTTAGCTGACAAACACAGGTGGTTACGTTTAGCCGACACGCACACGTGGATACGTTTAGCCAACACACACACACACACGTGGTTATGTTTAGCCAACACACACGTGGTTACGTTTAGCCGACACACACACACGTTGTTACGTTTAGCCGACACACACACGTGGTTACGTTTAGCCGACACACACACGTGGATACGTTTAGCCTACACACACACACATGGTTACGTTTAGCCGACACACACACGTGGATACGTTCAGCCAACACACACACACGTGGTTATGTTTAGCCGACACACACGTGGTTACGTTTAGCCAACACACACACGTGGTTATGTTTAGCCGACACACACACACACACATGGTTACGTTTAGCCAACACACACATGTGGTTACGTTTAGCCGACACACACACGTGGTTACGTTTAGCTGACACACACACACGTGGTCATGTTTAGCCGACACACACACACACGTGGTTATGTTAAGCCAACATACACGTGGTTACGTTTAGCCAACACACACACATGTGGTTACGTTTAGCCGACACACACACGTGGTTACGTTTACCCGACACACACACGTGGTTATGTTTAGCCAACACACACACACATGGTTATGTTTAGCCGACACACACACGTGGTTACGTTTAGCCAACACACACACGTGGTTACGTTTAGCCAACACACACACACGTGGTTACGTTTAGCCAACACACACACGTGATTACGTTTAGCCAACACACACACGTGGTTACGTTTAGCCAACACACACACGTGGTTACGTTTAGCCAACACACACACACACACACGTGGTTACGTTTAGCCAACACATACACACACACACGTGGTTACGTTTAGCCAACACACACACACACACACACATGTGGTTACGTTTAGCCAACACACATACATGGTTGGGTTTAGGAAAAAAGAACAGGGTTTGGCTTTACAATCTTACAGGAAGTGAACCCCGGCCTCCTGGGTGAAAGTCAGTGGTTGTGGTGTGTGTGTCTAAACTCTGCCACCTTGACATTTGTTGTTGACCTGCGGTGTTTCCCCCCGACACCACTGAGTGCCGTTCCACAATAACAGTGACCAGTTGTGTGTCATGCTGATGTGAAAGTACATCTTTTTTGTTTGTGCCTGACGCCAGAAGTCTCGAGCTGAAGGCCAGTATTCAACAACTTCCTGGAGGCTCAGATCAGATAACTGCAGCTTTACAGATGATGTTGTGTTTGTGTGTTCTGTATATTCTGAGGTGTGTGATGCATTCAGTGTCCTCAGGTCTTCACAGAGTGAATGACTTGTGATGAGTCAGCTGGTTGATTTACTTTAGGCTGATCTTCCGATTTAACGACTGATGTTTCATGAAGAGGCAGTTTCTCAAAGTCACTTTGTCTTGTTTAACGTCTCTGTTATCCATCAGGTGGAAATATTCAACACTTATTTTCACATGATTTCAGAGTTTAGGCCATGTGTCCACCTATCAGATAAAATTCAGATGAGGTTTCAGACTCCTTCATGAGTCCACAGACTGCTGGATGTGTCTTAAAGAGAAGGAAACATTTGCTTTGTTTAACATCTGGACCGAGTCTCAGACCTCCTCCTGACATGGTTCAACAATCAGGCTGTAAAAAACAGTTTTCACCTGACTGAGACACACGAGATGGACACTGTGGACACTCTTTGATCTGTGGACACCCTGTGATCTGTGGACACCCTGTGTGTGAACTTAAAGTTGTGTGAGTTTGAAGAGGTCTTACCTTCTGTGATCCAGATGACGCGCTGCGTTTGATGGACGAACGTTTGAACGATCCGTTAGTTCCTCTCCTCCCTCTGCTGTCCATGTTGATAGAGTTCAGCTGTCCTCCACATTCATCGCTCTGTCCTCCTGTCTCTGCTCCTGTCTGTCCTCCTGTATGTCGTCCTGTATGTCGTTCTGTCTCTGCTCCTGTCTGTCCTCCTGTATGTCCTCCTGTCTGTCCTCCTGTATGTCCTCCTGTCTGTCCTCCTGTACGTCCTCCTGTCTCTGCTCCTGTCTCGTCCCTGTGGTCCAGCTGTCAGTAGTGATGTGTTCAGGCGGAGACCCTGTCCTCTCTGCCCCTCTGTAATCAGGATTAGTGGACGCGGCTGAGGACGGGTGGAGGGTGGGTGGTGCTCTTTAATGGATGGAGATTTAATAAATGGTGATTGGAGATAAATCTACTTTAGGACAACACGCAGCTCAGAGACAGAGAATTATTTTTTTATGATTCATTGAAATAAAATATCATGATTATAATAAAAGGTCTGATGTGATGTCACAGTGAGAGGTCACAGGAACATCACTGAGTTTATCTCAACACAGATGAAAATATCACAGAGACAAGATTCATGCTTCAAAGAGATGAGACGAAAGTATCAGAGAGACGAACTGAAGACATTTGAGAAGAAACAAAGTTAAGAGACAGACGAGACGTAGATATCAGAGACAGGAGACAAAGATGTCTCACTCTGAGACTCACAGATTAAATACCTGCTTCACGCAGACGTCCTGATTCCTGATGTTCCGTCTCCGACCAGAGACGTCTCCAACAGAACCTGAATACCTCAGAACTAAACTGCTGAAACTGGACCTGGAGGTCAAATGTAAGAAAACCCAAATCATGATCTTTGATGTCTCAAAAACATATAAAATGTTACTCTGAGTAAACACACAAAAACTGATCCTAACTTCGGCCTGATCAAAAGATTTCAGTATGGAAATAAAAACATGTAAAAAAAAAAAAAATTATGTGCACATGAAAAACCAAATGACTGCTTTTATATTCCAGTCAGAATCTGAACTGAAAATCTGAAAATGAAATGTTACCAAAACTTTGAGAGAGGAGACAAAGATATCAGAGAAGAGACGCCTCACAGTTAAAACAAAGACATTAACAATCTCAAACGAATATAAAACTTCAGTGTTTTTTGTTGGTGCACCAGTTTAATGATAATGAAGTTGAGTTGAATGAATCCCTCTCAGTCATATGACTGATGTGACTGATGTGAGGTCAGCGTGTGTTTGATTTTATGTGAATTTAATGTGAAATAAATGTGATTGAATGTGTGAGTGAGGATCATTAATGCAGCTGCAGGATTACAGAGATAATCTAAGAGTTAAAGCTTGTTACTCAGATCATACAGACTGAAGGATTATTGCTCTGATCAGCAGATGAAGGGTTAATGTTTCATCTCACAAAGACAATAAAATATGATCAAGTCAGGACAGACACAGAGCTGCTGATGGAGATCCAACTGCATCATGTTTAAAGACAGTCAGTTTGAGAGACATCAGGAGGACATCATGTTAATGTGAAGACGAAGAGATGAAGACGTCAGACGTGATGTCACTCTGAAGCAGTGCAAGGTCGTTATGTTTCTCTACAGTCTGATGACGGTGAGATTTAAACTCAAACAGCAGGAAACAGGACAGCAGGACTTCCTGTCTCTGAGTCTTTTAAAAGTAAAAGCAGCCGCTCACCGTCACTCAGCTGATAACCTGAGTGAACGCCGTCCTCCATCTTGGCTCAGGTGTCACAGTCCCAGTGTGAACATTAAAGACGTCTCAGCAGCTTCCCTCTGATGTCGGCCGTCCGTCTGTCTGTCCGTCCATCTGCTGCAGGAACCACCTGACCTCTGTCCTCTGTCACATCCTGTTTGATTTCCGTGTTTCCTGTTGATCTTCTGATGACACCTGTTGTGATTGGTGGGTGGAGTCTCTCCTCCATCCTGCTGCACCTTCTCTGTCATTAGGTCTATTTTCATTCATTCATTCATCCATTCATTCATCTCAGTAGGTTTACATGACAGGACATATTTTATCTGACAGGAAGTGGATGTGTCTTCTCTGGGTTTATTCGTGTGTAACTCTCTGTTCTCTCATTCAATCAATCAATCAATCAATCAATTTTATTTATAAAGCCCAATATCACAAATCACAATTTGCCTCACAGGGCTTTACAGCATACAACATCCCTCTGTCCTTATGACCCTCACAGCTGATCAGGAAAAACTCCCCAAAAAAACCCTTTAACGGGGAAAACAAAATGGTAGAAACCTCAGGAAGAGCAACTGAGGAGGGATCCCTCTTCCAGGACGGACAGACGTGCAATAGATGTCGTACAGAACAGATCAGCATAATAAATTAACAGTAATCCGTATGACACAATGAGACAGAGAGAGAGAGAGAGAGAGAGAGAGAGAGAGAGAGAGAGAGAGAGAGAGAGAGAGACAGGACAGATGGTACTGACAGTAGCTTACAACAACATTATCCTCTGAAAGAGTGTCACAGCTCGTCTTCTGTCCACACTGTCGTCAGTCCTCTGACACAGTCTGACATGTGTTCATTCAGAGACACTAATGTGTCTTCAACATCAAACAGTCTGCAGATCATTAGAGAACATGTAGAAGTTCATGTGTTCACAGTCAGGAAAATACAGTTTACTGCTGACGCACTCAAACTGTCAGTGACAGTGAACACATGAACTTCTACATGTTCTTTGGACTGAGAACCAAAACTGTTGTTGAACAGATGAAGGTTTGACAACAACAACAACAACAACAACAACAACAACAACAACAAACAACACCTGTGATGGAGTCTCTTTGCTGTGTTGGTAAAGTTACTTTTCAGGATCTGACATGTGTCTGACAGACAATCAGAGCTTCAGATGGTTTGTTTATCAGGAAGGTTCCTCGGGGCTATTTGACGTGACATCACTCCAGGATGATTACAGCCAGAATGAGGAAGAGGAGGAGGAGGAGGAGGAGGAGGAGGAGGAGGGCACATCATCGTCAGCACACACTGCGACGTAAAGGCCAAGAAAATACGTTCATTTTGAATGACAACAACCGTGATATGATACAACACAGGTTCATTGAAGTAAGTAGATAATTAGTGGGCAGAGGCAGTGGACAGATGTTGGTGATGACGCTCCACCACCTGTTTGCAGATCGTAGTTTATAAAGAAGCAGAGGCTGTCAAAAACAAAAAGCTGCTGTCACTTCCAGTCAATGCAAAACTGCAGTGTGAGATGTGAGACAACACGTTGCTGCTGATATGATTACGTAATGTCCACAGTGAAGTTCTAGCAGAGGTCAGTGTCTTTCATCATCTTCAGACAGTGAAAAGCTGCTGGTGCAGTTTGTCTGTGACAGCAGTTCATTTGATCTGAATCCAGGATCGACTGAATCTGAGACCAACCATGCGACCAGATCAACAGAGTCTGAGCTCAACGAACCTGCAGCCTCAGGCCGAGAGAACAGGAACCATCAGCTGTCTCTGTTCACCTTCTGCTTCAGACTCTGAGAGCGTTCACGTTAAACCAGTCAAAAGACACCTTCAGCCCCTCATGTGACTCTTAAACACTATTCGGACGGGATTAGTTTTACATGGGCACATGGGGTAATGTCACTTTACCACAGGGCGTCAGTATTATTAATGGCCAATTCGCATGGGATAAGAAATATCAGTACAATTACCACAAGTGGGAGGGGTAAATCCATTCACGCACTGCCGTCCCCTCCTGTCGTCACGTGCGTATGACGTTGCTTCCTTTTTTTGATAAAGAGGAAGAATGCATCTACATTAGGTTACCATAATTTAACACTGATAAGAATGTGCTCTGCTTTCCCTCTCTAATAGAGGTTACCCCCTCTATTGGAAGTTACCCCCTCTATTGGAGGTTACCTTCTCTAATGGAAGTTACCCCCTCTATTGGAAGTTACCCCCTCTATTGGAGGTTACCCTCTCTAATAGAGGTTACCCCCTCTATTGGAAGTTACCCCCTCTATTGGAGGTTACCC